AACAATCGGTAACACTTTAGTATTTTTTTTGTTGTCGTGTTTTTTCGTGCCGATTTTGCTCTGCCCAAACACGCACGCCCATGGAAAAAATTTAATTTTTCATCAAGCACACGCGGGCGCCAGTCGTGTCACGATACAGAAGTCGTAATGAGGGATTGACAGTCTGGCAGCGTGTGCGCCGATCTGCCAGTGGATTAACACATAGCTCGGATTTGTCTGCCCAAAGGGAGAGTTTCATAAGAGTGCTTGTTATGCACTCGCATAGCGACTGTGAAAATTTCCCAGAGAATGCTATTCCAACATCATCAGCGTACGCCACCACGTGACATCCATTCCCTCTATCTTGCGTAGCAGTTCATTAACTGCTACATTCCATAGGAGGGGCGAGAGGACTCCGCCCTGCGGCGTACCTCTGCTGACAAACCTGGTGGAAGTTGACGTCCCCAGTGAGGCCTCAACTGTCCTGTATTGAAGCATCTGATCGATGAGAATCACCGTCCGGGAATCAGTCCCTAGGTCCGTCAATGCACCCGTGATGGTTGGGATGTTGTTGTTAAAAGCGCCTTCTATGTCAAGAAAGGCCACCAGAGTGTAATCCTTATAGTTAAGGGACGTTTCAATGATCGATGTAATCGCGTGTAAGGCCGTCTCGGTGGATCGTCCTCTCCGATAGGCGTGATGAGAATCAGAGATTAGATTGGGCGGAATACTCGCCCTAAGTTGCAGCCCTAAAAGTCGTTCCATCGTCTTTAAAAGTAAGGACGAAAGACTTATTGGTCTGAAATTTTTGGGGGCAATGTGCGAGGGTTTACCTGCCTTGGGTATAAAAACACTTTCTTCGATTTTCAGTGGCAAATCTTAAATTTAAGGCATTCTGATCCAAATAGACCGAGCGTCAAAGACTTTTCGCAGTTTCCCGAAGACTTTTCTCTTATTTTTTAAGATTCAAGACAATCATCACTTCTTCAGCAGAACAATGCTTTTCGGCCCATATAGTGACATTTTTTTAACTCTCATGTACTTTAATATGAAAGAAGTCAATAAAAACCAACAATCCTTTGACCAAATCTCAATTAAATCCTTAAAAATTCATAAATACCTCCAGTGTACTTATTATTTTGACCACATTAAATATGCACAGCCAGCAGAAATTTAAGCTTAGAATTAAATTAAGGGTGCTCACAACTTTCATTTTTGATTTAAATATTTGGCAAAACTGTAATCTTTAAAAATATAAACACTTGGCAGTCATAAATTCAAAAACATTCGAGATATTTCATAAAAACTCAGCACGATGCCTCTGTACTTATTATTTTGACCAGTAGTGTAAGTCTGAAAACCAAATTTGGTTGCCCTAGCTCTTATAGTCTCTGAGATCTAGGCGCTCATCGAGTAGAGGTGGAAAAACATCGATGTTTGGAGACATCGATGTTTTAGTAAAAAACATCGATGTTTTGCAACATAAAAAAAATATCAAAAATACATAGTAAACTGCAAAGAAAATAATTAAAATTATACATAATAACAGTTTTATTTCATTTGAGATCAAGAGTTCCGAAATCCATTCACAAAAATATATATATATAAAATAAGTGCATTTACCAGATTATATCTTAAAATAAGTCTTGATTCTTGTTGAGAAATAATAATTGGTACACCACTTCCGGCTTAAGGCGGCTACGACGATCGGAAATAATTTGCCCACCCTTGCTGAACATCCTCTCTGACTCGTAGGATGGGCATAGCGACATACCTCAGGGTGACATATCTCCTGGCAGACCCTAACGACATATCTCCGCACGGAGATTTTGAAACGACATACATATCTCCTCGCGGAGATTGGCGTCATATCTCCGCCCAGAATTTAGCGACATATCTCCTGCTAGAAAAAGTAATGGCAGGATATACATATGTCGCCCGGAGATATGTCGTTACCCCGTAGGATGTTGCCGGGACGCACAAATATTTTTGGGCTTCAGCTTTAAATGGCATCATGCCGTCTGTATTGATCTAAAAATGTAACCATTTGAGCTTGATCTTCTTCTCTCTTTATGTTTTTCTTTCATAGACGACTAAAACATAAAAGCAAAACATCGATGTTTCACCAAAAAACATCGATGCTTATAAAAATTTTAAAAACATCGATGCATCGATAGTAGCATCGATGTTTTCCACCTCTATCATCGAGACAGACGGACAGACAGACATGGCTATATTGACTTGGCTATTGATGCTGATCAAGAATATATATACTTTATGGGGTCGGAAACGTTTCCTTTTCTGCGTTACACACATCCACTTTTACCACAAATCTAATATACCCCTTAACTCTTTTTTGAGTACGGGTATAAAAATGCGTAACAAACCAAACAGAATGCGTACTCAAAATGTGGGAGTACATTTGGTTTGTTTTCTTAATCCTAGTACTCAGATCCAAAAACTGTTTGCTAGCAAACAAATGTCATATATTCTTCTAGCGGCCAGTGGTGTGACCAGAGGTTTGCACTGCATTCCGTACGGTTACACTGCTCAGAGAGCTGCTTGGTTTTGTTTAAAGTTAATAAAAGGCAATTCTTTGGCTGGTGTCGCTCTTCCCCAGTCATACCCTGGGCTCCCTAATATTTTATTGCCAAAGAAATGTGTGTGACTATCAGGAGCAAGAGATGGCAGCGCCTCCCGTGCAGACCACCATCAAGAAAAAATGTTTTGAAAAAAGACGCATGAGGCAGACGCGGAGTGGCTTCAAAGAGCTGATCGTAGGCTTTAAACAGCAACATGAACGGCTCTTGGCCATGGACACTCGGTTCAGCAGTTTACAGCTGCTGGCCGAGTCTCCGAGGCGAAAAAGTCACCTCCGCAGGACTTTCAAGTGCCGACTGCCTCATGTCCGGCGGCGTCCGAAAAACTTACCCCGACCACTCCCTTAGTGCAGCAGTTGATTACATTTGCTACTCCAAGGGCAACGATCGCTGCTGGTAATGCAGATTCGGGAGCCGAATGCGTCACTTCGGAGAGTATGCAGTTAGAAATGTCTGCAGAGTCCGTGTCCATCGAGTCCGCACCCAACCCCTTAACTATCCCCTCAGTTTCGCTCCCACCAGCTAATAGATGTCCAGGACCACCGGATACTGCCATCACTGGTACTAGGCCTGTGGTGCAAAAACCAATGGTGGGAGTCCCACCGAAGCGACAAGTTTTGCCGGAGCATTTGGTGGTTAAAGAGTTTAAGGCTAAGAAAAAGAATAGGCCCCCCTCAGCTCCATCTTTACCCTCATCTTCCACCTCAACATCTACCCATCCAAAAAACGAACTTCCTGTCTTTTAGTTACCTACCAGAATGCAAGAGGCTTGCGTAGTAAGCTCAGCACTCTTTTTCTTGAGAGTCTCGCATTCTCGTCCCATGTTATTGTGTTTACCAAGACCTGGTTATAGCCGGACATCCTTGGTTCCGAAGTTTTGGCAGGTCGGTACACAATTTTTAGAAATGACCGTTCGTCTCGACGTGGGGTCCTCATTGAAGTGGACTCAAACTTCACGTCGGAACATTTCATGGTCCAGGTTCAACAAGACCGGGAATTCCTGTGCGTAAAACTGATTCTCCCAGGCTTTTCCATTTTCATTACTTGCTCGTATATTCCACCTTCCTCGGATATCTTAATATACGAGCATCACCTGTCCGCTTTAAAAATTGTTTCTTCCTCGGCATAAGATACAGATCATATGATAGTTCTTGGTGATTTCAATTTACCAGGTACTGTTTGGTCTTCGGTAAACGAGTCTAATAACCTTGTGCCCATGTCACGACATGACTTAATCGACGGCTTGCTAGACCTATCCCTGTCTCAAATCAAGCAATGCCAAAAGTTCCTTGGGTCGATTGCTTGAACTGTGCTTTGTCTCGGATCCGACCATAGCTTTGCTAACCCGAGCCCTTCCGCTCACTATACCTGAAGACTCCTACCATCCTACATTCGAAGTGTTGGTCGATATTGGGCCTACTGTATTGGATCGAATGGGTAGGCTATCTGAACGTGTCCGCTGCTTTCGTAAAGCCCAGTTTACGAAGCTTAATAACCTCATTAGGGATTTTGATTGGTCCGCTCTGTACTTGTGCACTGACGTTATGAAAGGCACAAACATTTTTTACAATGTATTTGACATATTTTTATAACCGTACTCAAAAAAGAGTTTAGGGGTATATTAGATTTGTGGTAAAACGCAGAGAAGGAAACGTTTTCGAGCCCATAAAGTATATATATTCTTGATCAGAATCAATAGCCGAGTCGATATAGCCATGTCTGTCTGTCCGTCTTGTTGAGCGCCTAGATCTCAGAGACTGTAAAAGCTAGAGCAACCAATTTTGTTTCTAGACTCATGTGATATCACACTGCTACAAGTGTATTTTAAAAGTTCGCCCCGCCCCCTTCCGCCCCCACAAAGGACGAAAATCTGTGGCAAGCACAATTTTAAAGATACGATAAAACTAAAAACGCAGCATCGTAGAGATTGACCATATCTACCAGATTGCCGAATCTGAATAAGATCGGATCATAATTATAGCCAGAATGAAGAAATTAATTTGCAGTTGCTTCCCCCGCCTACTTCAGCCAGAGATCCGAGCTCATTCTCTTTCTCGCTCGCACACTCTGCCGCATTCAGTGCGCGAGCAACCCCTAGCGGAGGATATGTATTATATACATTGTAGATCTAGATAACAGATGTAGCAAAAAAAATTTTTATTTTCGATTTTAAAATTCTAAAAAATCATAAGCTCAAACATGTATATACTGAATGTCCCCAGAAGCGACTCACACCTTCCTTCTCGTTTTACATGAAGTTTGACAGGAATTTTTAGATTCCGCGGTGCTGGATACTAAGCTTAAGTCACTATTTCATGTATTTTCGGATATGCTAGCCGTGGGCGAACCTAGAAAATAGATCATTTTATATTATTTAACAAAAATATTTAAACCATTTTAAATTTATTCTTTTATTAACAGAAAATCGCGGAGAGTTTTTGGAAAAACTTTTGAGGGCCCGTTCGTGCGTTGTACCAGGAACAGTATCGCAACCTATTTTACCCACTACAAGTTCGGTGAGGTTGGTAGTTGGAAACTGGGTTCTGCAGTCTCATAAGGCAAATCAACTTCAAATTCAAAACACCGAAGGTCAACAAGTAACTATTTTGCAAGATGATTTGCTCGGATTTATTTTTGAGAGCAACAGAGGAACAAAACATACATTTACAGCGGAAACAGTTTTGGGGCCTGATTTTGCTTCCGGGTGGTCAACTGCCAAAAAAAAGCGTATAAAGTCAAAGACAGATGGTCAGAGATTTCAAATCCGTAATTTATCTCGGGATATTTATAATAAGTACTTTAAATCAGCTCAAACAATACCACGTGGAGCAGTAGGAAAACTCACAGATATAGTAAACAAAATTGAGCTATCCTTTGAAGAGCAGAATATATCACCTGATGGAAATTGGGAAATTATATTATCTACTGCATTAATGGAGCTTTCACAATTGATCCATGAGGATGGCGTAGTGAGTGCATTTGAAATGCATTCATCGGGTCTTGTACAAGCTTTAGTTGCTGTTTTATCAGTTAACCATTGGGAAAGTCACTCGGCAAGATGCAAGCGAAGCCAAATGCAGAAACAACGGGTTTCCGTATTCAAAAAATGCATATTAGAAGATAACATTGACTCTGTTCCGAACCAATCAAGAATTAAAAGTACTGCGAGTATTTTAATACAGAAACTTGTCTCAGTTTTAGAAAGTACTGAAAAATTACCAGTATATTTGTATGATGCACCATGCACTGGATACAATCTACAAATTCTGCAAAAACGACTTCGTTTCAGATTGGAACGTGCACAATGTGAAAATACATTGTTCGATCGAACGGGTCGAACTTTAAAAATGGAACCCTTAGCAACCATTGGGCAGCTTTCAAAATATCTACTTAAAATGGTAGCCAAACAATGGTATGATCTAGACAGATCAACATTTTTTTACTTGAAAAAACTCAGAGAAAATCAAAATGGTGTTTTTTTTGCACATTCTTTTGATTTTGACGAAGAAGGTCTGTTATATTATATTGGTTCTAACGCAAAAACGTGCGATTGGGTAAATCCTGCGCTATTTGGACTTGTACAAGTAACAAGCTCAGAAGGCAAAACGTTACCCTATGGAAAATTGGAGGACATTTTGTCTCGAGATAGCATATCGCTTAATTGTCATACCAAGGATAATAAGAAAGCCTATTTTGCTATAGATCTCGGAGTATTTATTGTACCCAATGCTTATACTTTACGTCATGCTCGAGGATATGGACGTTCGGCACTACGGAATTGGCTACTTCAAGCTTCAAAAGATGGCGTATGTTGGACAACTCTTAGTACTCATATAGATGATAAAAGCCTTCTTGAACCTGGTAGTACAGCGACTTGGTCCATAAATTGTGCATCAGACTCAGTAGGATATCGTCACATAAGAATTCAGCAGAATGGTCGGAATGCGTCCGGTCAGACTCATTATTTAAGTGTAAGTGGATTTGAAATTTATGGTCGCGTCATAGGAGTTTCTGAAGATATTGGAAAAAGTGTTAAAGATGCTGAAGCAAAAATAAGGCGAGAGAGGCGGCAGATAAGAGCTCAACTTAAACACATGACTACTGGCGCGCGTGTTGTTCGTGGAATAGACTGGCGTTGGGATGATCAAGATGGATGTAGTGAAGGAACCATCACTGGTGAAATACACAATGGTTGGATTGATGTAAAATGGGACCATGGTGTAAGGAATTCTTATCGCATGGGCTCTGAAGGAAAATACGATTTGAAATTGGCTGATTGCGAAAATTATTCTATGTTTGAAGGAAGTTCGTCGATTAAAACCATTAATACAGAATCTAAAATAAAAGATAAAACAATCACACTTAGTTCACGAAAATCCAGTTCTACTCCATCCCTTGCTGAAGCAACTGAAAAAAATCAAAATACAGAAGGTGCTTCAAATCAAACTGTTTCTGCAGACAACCTTACATGGAAGCAAGCTGTGGAAACAATATCCGAAAATGTGTTTTCTTCAGCAAAGACCCAAATAATCTCTAATCAATTATCTACAAATACGTCACCCAGAGAAACTCGCATAAATAACAAGGAACCTAGCTGTAAAAAAATTCATAAAGATTCTCTAAAAGGTGGAACACCATTGAGTCGTGACCTGGAGCATGTATCAGACCTATCAGCAATCAATAATTCAATTCCGGCAATTAATTCAGCTATACCATCAGACCTAGCAACTATTTCGGAAAATTTGGGTGAAGTATCTAAAGAAAATACATGTAGCGTAATTTGTCCGATACACACGCATGCTGAGACAATTTCTGCGAGTCCAAGTTCTTTCCTTCCCAGTACTCAAAACTTAGTTTCACAAGGCACTGATATACAAAACCTATCCAATATTGAAGAAAACAATAAAATGAATGCCAATTATTCAGTAAATAAAATGCCTAAAGAACTGCCTGTAAACGTACGAACTACAAATATTACTAGCGTTGTTCAATATGTTACACAATATTCTAACGATGCTGTCGAAATTATCGATAAAATCGATGATGGCTTAGATATGATACGAAACAACTCCAATAATATTCAATCACCTTGTACTAATACAGGGTTAGATATTAAAGAACATATAACTAAGGTATTAATTGCCGAAAATAATCAACAAAGACAAATACAATTTGTAAGCGATGAATTTTCAAAAAAAAGTATCAATAATTGCAGTGGAACATTGAATTCATCTTCAGCAGAACCAAATGCGGTTAGGTCTATTGACGAAGTCAAAAATTCTCAAATTTCACCTGATATTGTTTCTGTAGCTAGTCAGATGAGCATAAGTGTACCCAACCTAACTACTACTACGGTCTCTGAAGTGCCAACAATATTAGAAGGTGATGGGCATACCGGCTTATTAGAAACATTTGCTGCTATTGCACGTCGTCGTACTTCTCAAGGAACACACATGCAGGATAACCAGCTTATGAGAGCGGATATAAATATCAATCAGCATACTGATCAAAGCGTTGCAACAAGTTCATTTCTGGGAAACTCAGTAACAAGTTTGGTCAAAATGGCATTGTCAAGTAATTTTCACTCTGGTTTGTTAAGCACAGCTCAAAGTTATCCAAGCTTATCATCTAATAATAGTGAAAGAGTTCCTCCTACAAACCCATCTAACTGTTCTACTGTACAACAACCTACATCTTCAATAAATCAGACGTTAACGATGAGTCTAACTTCTACATCAAGTGATAGCGAACAAGTTTCTTTGGAAGATTTTTTGGAAAGTTGCAGAGCGCCAGCATTGTTAGGAGACGTAGATGATGAAGAAGATATGGACGAAGACAATGATGAAGAAGAAAATGAAGACGAATATGAAGAAGTTGGAAACACCCTTCTACAAGTAATGGTTTCAAGAAATTTGCTCTCTTTTATGGATGATGAGGCACTAGAAAATAGATTGGCTGGTGTAAGCAAGCGCAAATCATGGGATGATGAATTTGTTCTAAAAAGACAATTTTCTGCATTGATACCTGCATTTGACCCGCGACCTGGCCGCACAAATGTAAATCAAACATCAGATTTAGAAATACTTCCTCTAGGTCTTGATTTACCAAGCCCACAGCAAACTGGGTATGACTCCATTGAACAGCCAATACTTGGTTTAAAGTTACGTGGCCCCGGAATCGGCAGTGTTCCCGATGTTGAAATTGACTTGAATAATTCTAACTGGACAATTTTTCAGGCCGTACAGGAATTACTGCAGCATAGTCAATTAAACAGAGTTGATAAATTTCGAAAAGTATGGGAACCAACATACACAATAATATACCGAGAGATATTACCCGAAGGCCAGGAAAACACTTATTTGGAATCCGACGAATTACTTCAAACGCCAGATATGTCATCCAAGAGCGGTGCGTCCACTTTGTCTCCAAACTCTCCAATGCATATCGGGTTTAATAAAACGGAGCACAATTTGTGCTCTGTTGATGATGTTCTTGAGTTGCTGATACGAATCAACTCTCTTAATGAAAGTGAACTTGATTTCGAAAGTAAGGAACGGAGTGTTCCCTTAATAGCAGACGAACTTTTTGTTAGCAAAAAAATAACAAATAAATTACAACAGCAAATTCAAGACCCACTTGTTCTTTCATGCAACGCATTACCTAATTGGTGTGAGAATTTAAATCAATCTTGTCCATTCTTGTTTCCATTTGAAACTAGACAGTTGTATTTAAACTGCACTTCTTTCGGAGCATCTCGAAGTATCGTTTGTCTGCAATCTCAACGAGATCTCAACACAGAAAGGCAAAGGATACCAATAATGAGTCCACGTCGTGATGATCACGAGTTTCGCATTGGTCGTCTAAAACATGAACGTGTTAAAGTACCACGTAACGAAAATTTGCTGAAATGGGCAATGCAAGTTATGAAAACGCACTGCAATCGAAAGTCTGTATTGGAGGTGGAATTTTTGGATGAAGAAGGAACTGGATTAGGACCAACTCTGGAGTTTTATGCGTTAGTGGCAGCAGAAATTCAACGATCTGACTTATGTATGTGGCTGTGCGATGATGAATTGGGAGAAAAAAACATCCAGGACATATCCGAAATTCTTGAAGGCAATTCTAAACCAATTGGATATTACGTAAATCGAAGGGAACATGGATTGTTTCCAGCTCCACTCCCACAAAATTCTGTAAAATGTGAAAGTGTTTTAAAATATTTTTGGTTTTTCGGAGTTTTCATTGCAAAAGTTTTGCAGGATATGCGTCTAGTGGATATACCTTTATCGACATCTTTTCTTCAATTGCTTTGTCATAAAAAAATGTCATTACGTAGTTTACAAAAAATTATATCTGAGAGAAGACCTGGAGATATATCTTTGATATCGTGTAATGACTTCTTACGTACTGACTATAATAAATCTAATTTATTTGGTGGATTACTACATTTAGATAATTTAAAAGAAGTAGATCCCACACGCTATCAATTTTTACTCGAACTGCAAGACTTGTTGTTGCGTAAGCAATCAATTGATTTTGACTGCGGTATAAGCTTGGAAAAAAAACAAGAACAAATTAATGACCTTAAGCTATGCACCAAAAATGGATTAGAAGTATGTCTGGAGGATCTAGCACTTACATTCACATATTTACCAAGTTCTTCAATTTATGGATATACACAAGCCGAGCTGTTGCCAAATGGCTCATCAATAAATGTCACCATTAACAATCTGGAGGCATATTGCGAACTTCTTCTTAACTTTATTTTACATGATGGAATTGCTAAGCAGATGAAAGCTTTCAGTGATGGATTTAATGAAGTTTTTCCCTTAAAAAAACTGACTGCGTTCTCGGCGGCAGAGGCTCGATTAATGATTTGTGGTGAACAATATCCACATTGGAATCGAGAAGATATTATTTCATACACTGAACCAAAACTTGGCTACTCCAAGGATAGGTAAAATTAATATTATTAATCAAATATGCAATATTAATCTTTTTTTTTTCTTTAGCCCTGGGTTCCTTCGTTTTGTAAACGTTCTATTAGGCATGTCAGGAAATGAACGGAAAGCTTTTTTACAGTTCACAACTGGTTGCAGTAGTTTGCCTCCGGGAGGACTTTCAAATCTACATCCTCGACTTACAGTCGTTCGAAAAGTGGATGCAGGTGTTGGGAGCTATCCCTCTGTAAATACTTGTGTTCATTATTTAAAGCTTCCAGACTACCCAACCGAAAAAATAATGAAGGAGCGACTGTTAACAGCAACAAAGGAAAAGGGGTTTCATTTAAACTAAACATTAAAGCTTTCTACATATATGAAAACATTTTAATCGATAAGGTAATGCTATAATTTTGCATAATCTATAAAAGATGTATATTAAATTAATTATGAATAATTTAATTAAATGAAATTTAATACAGTTAGAGTTTATTACTTTAAAGCATTATTAAATATTGCGATGTCCGTCAGCTCCTACGTCGACAGAGGGCTGTCGAGAGCCACTCGGAGACCGGTGAAATTCATTGTACGTTGATATGCAATGACTGGCCCATGCGACATTAAGCTAAAGACTGTTACGCGCAGATCCCAGGCAGAAACGCAGATCTCCCGCCCAACCGACCGAGGGGCGCTGCCGCATGACGCATATAGGACTACTCGACAAAATCGAACTTTTTTTTCCCCGCTTCGAACCAACCCGACTTTTTCTGATAGACTTTTTTAAAAGAATTATGGTTTTTTTCTACGGCAGAAGTTTTTTTTAAAGAATTTTTGAAAACTGTTCTTTTTAATGATTTTTCAGGAGGATGCACTTCTTTTTCACATACATATCTTAAGTAATGAACTTTGCCATTCTGAAATAAGACCAAAACATTTTGTGGCTTTAGCTTACCGTCTGGGAAATATTTATCTATCAAATGCAAAAATTATGATTTTTGTGCGAGATTTTTTACGATATTTTGAATTTAAAAATTCAGGAAAAGTCTAAAAAAAAAATAACCTGGGTCCCTTATTATACCTGTACTCACAAAGAATAAAGAGTTGCATTTGTGGTAAAATTGGATGTCTGTAACGCAGAGAAGGAATCATTTCCGACCCTATAAAGTATATATATATTTATGATCAGCATCAATAGCCAAGTCGATATAGCCATGTCTTTTGTCCGTGTTGATGAGAGCCTAGATCTTAGAGACTATAAGAGCTAGTTATCCAGTCTACAAAATTTTAAATCAAGACTTTATAAAAAATTTCGAGAATTTGGTTCTCCCTCTTCTCTTTCTCACTATGTAATAGCTCGGTCAAATTTCTCCGTTCTTAACGCTCAATGCTATAAAAACTACCTATCTCAATGCAGGATACGATTTTCACAGGACCCTAAACAGTTTTACAGCTTGGTAAATAGTAAGAGTAGAACGTCCGCACATCCATCCTCGTTATCTTTCCTCAATATGTCAGCAAACAAATATCAGGCAATTGCCGATCTTTTTGCCAAATTTTTCCAAATAACCTTTTCTCATGAAAGCTACTCTGGTCAGCCGTATCCATACAGTTTACCAAGGTCGAATGGCATCTTCAGCCCCTTGTTAAATGAAAGCTCACTGCTTCATGATCTTCGACTAGTTAAGCCGGTGTTTTCACCAGGTCCTGACGGAGTTCCCGGCTGTGTACACAGGTACTGTGAAGACGCTTTGTGTGGACCCCTGCTTAAACTATTTACCCTATCCATTAACTCTCTAAACTCTCTAAAGTCTGATGCAAATAATTATAGAGGTATATCTAAATTATCCGCTATTCATGAAATGTTTACACAAATTTTAGCTCAGAATTTGCAACATTTTTGCAAATCAGTTATATATCCGTCTCAGCACGGATTTAAAAGGCGACGATCAACAACGACAAATTTTTTGGAGTTTACCTATTTTATCATTAAAAGCTTCCAAGGTAACTTGCATCATTCGATTCTGTAAACCATTCCCTTCTAGCACAAAAACTTGACCTTGTAGGGTTTCCACCTAATCTTTTGAGATGGTTTTTTAGCTTCAAAAACTCACCTGTTAAAGTTACTTCTGGAGTACCACAGGGCAGCCATTTAGGCACCCTACTATTCACACTCTTTATTAATGTCCTGCCTTCAGTATTAACAAACTCTCGAGTACTCATGTATGCGGATGATGTTAAACTCTGTGTCCAGTATAAGGACATTTCATTTCACTCTCGCTGCAATCCAATCTCAATAGCTTTGAGTCATGGTGTTGTGCAAATATGCTTCACCTAAATGCCTCGAAATGCAAAGTAATGACATTTCATCGCTCCAGCCCCTTTTTCGCTCCTTATAGCCTCTGAGGTTACTTTTACTTTTCTCTCAAGAGAACCACCTCAGAGGCTACCACCAGACGATCTTGGTGTTAAATTAGACCCAAAGTTAAAGTTTTCTGAACACATTTCTACCATGGTAAATAAGGCCATGGGTGTGCTTGCGTTTATAAAGAGGTGGTCAAAGGAATTTGACGACCCCTATATAACGAAGACTCTCTACATCTCGCTTGTTCGTCCGATTTTAGAGTACGGCTCTTGTGTATGGTGCCCCCAGTACAAAGTACACCAGGACTTTTTACTTTTTGCTCTGCTATAATTATGATCCGATCTGATTCAGATTCGGCAGTCTGGTAGATATGGATATTCTCTACAATAATGCGTTTTTAGTTCTATCGTATCTTTAAAAATGTGCCTGCCACAGATTTTCGTCCTTTGTGGTGGCGGAAGGGGGCGGGGCGAAATTTTGAAATACACTTGTAGCAGTGTGATATCACATGAGTCTGGAAACCAAATTTGGTTACCCTAACTTTTATAGTCTCTGAGATCCAGGCGCTCAACAAGACGGACAGACGGACGGACGGAAAGACAGACATGGCTATATCGACTCGGCTATTGATGCTGATCAAGAATATATATACTTTATGGGGTCGGAAACGTTTCCTTCTCTGCGTTACACACATCCACTTTGTAAGGAAGCGATCTAGGCCGGGGTACAACTCTCAGTCACGCCAGGGTCGAAATTACAGAAATATTTATAATTTGCCGGGACTCCGAGTCTTGAGCCACCAACGGGGCGGAGAGTGGGTCTCGTGGCGGGGAATCGTGGAATTGTTCCCAGGAGGCACCTGGGAAGTCGCCGGGCGGCACCTCTGGGAAGCTACGGGCGGGAAATCGGGAAAATTATTCCCAGAAGGCACCTGGGCAGTCGCCGGGCGGCACCTCTGGGAAGCTACGGGCGGGAAATCGGGAAAATTATTCCCAGAAGGCACCTGGGCAGTCGCCGGGCGGCACCTCTGGGAAGCTACCGGCGAGAATCAGGAAAATTATTCCCAGAAGGCACCTGGGCAGTCGCCGGGCGGCCCCCTCTGGGAAACTACGGGCGGGCGGGCTACGGGTTGATTCATTAGAGGGCACCTGGGCAGTCGCCGGGCGGCCCCCTCTGGGAAACTACGAACGGGAAATAGGGAACATTATTCCCAGAGGGCACCTGGGCAATCGCCGGGCGGCCCCCTCTGGGAAACTACGAACGGGAAATAGGGAACATTATTCCCAGAGGGCACCTGGGCAATCGCCGGGCGGCCCCCTCTGGGAAGCTACGGGCGGGAATCAGGAAAATTATTCCCAGAAGGCACCTGGGCAGTCGCCGGGCGGCCCCTCTGGGAAACTACGGGCGGACTACGGGGAACATTATTCCTAGAGGAACATTCTTTTGCGCGTATTACCATCGCTGTTCCCTGCTTGCTCAAAAGAACTCCCACACGACTTCACAAAAATCCCAACACAAGAAGTCAAGACGGCGATTTTGACGTTTGATTAATTATTTATTCCTGGCCTTTTCCTGGCTCGTGGACCCTGCCTACCGCACCGCTCAGCTGCCCGCCTACTCACGACGGTGAGACTCGCTTACCCTCAATCCTTGCGTTCGAGTTCTTCCTTGTTGTGTCCCCGGGCGGGAGATCGTCGTCCTCTCCTCTGGCCGATGCACGCGTGGAGCCGTGCGTGTCGCCGTCTGCCTTCCGTGCGCGCCGTTTTTTTCCTTGCGCTAACTTTTCGTGCACGTCTGCCCTGTTTTGCACTCTAGCACCGACTCCCCCACGATCTCTGACGCTCGCCATCTCGAACCTCGTTGCCGGTCTCTCGACTTCGTTTTCCTCTTCGCTATACGCCCACGCTCTCTCTCTCTCTGTGGGCTCGTCGCTGATATTTGTTGCGGCCGCCGTTGCTCTCACGCTCTCTTGTCGTTTTACGTTGGTATTGGTGGCCGAGCTTTGGTTTCGTCTGCTTCGTTCGGGCTCTCTCTCTCTCTGTGGGCTCGTTGCTGATATTTGTTGCGGCCGCCGTTGCTCTCACGCTCTCTTGTCGTCTTACGTTGGTATTGGTGGCCGAGCTTTGGGTTTCGTCTGCTTCGTTCGGGCTCTCTCTCTCTCTGTGGGCTCGTTGCTGATATTCGTTGCGGCTGCTGTTTTCTCGCGCTCTCTTGTCGTTTTACGTTGGTATTGGTGGCCGAGCTTTGGGTTTCGTCTGCTTCGTTCGGGCTCTCTCTCTCTCTGTGGGCTCGTTGCTGATATTCGTTGCGGCTGCTGTTTTCTCGCGCTCTCTTGTCGGTTCCTCGTTGGTATGGGTGGCCGAGCTTTGCCCTCTCTGCTGTTGGACCTTTTGGTTCGCGGCTTGGCTTACCTCGGTTGTGGGAGCTTTCCGTTGATGACGCGTTTTAGAGATGCCGTCCGATCACGGTTCCCCCCCCTTTCCTGAAATCACGAGAATGCAGGTGCTTATGGGCCCTTAGGGTCGTATAATTAAGTCTACGAATGGGGAATGTCAAAGCTTAATCCTACAAAAATATAACAAAAATACGAGTATCAATTTAAATTGCGGAGTCCCTCCTGGGGTGTCTCCTTGTAGGAACAGAATGTTGTCCCTCCAGTGGGAATGGCAAGAAAGTAAGTCCGTCTGTGGTTCCCTTCATGGGAGAAAATTGTGATGGAGCCGTTTGCTCCTTCACAACTTTTACCACAAATCTAATATACCCCTTAACTCGTTTTTGAGTACGGGTATAAAAATGGGGGAAAAAAAAACTTCAAAGTAAATTTTATTATTTTTCAAGTGTGAAAAAATTGATGTAAATTTTGTCCAAAAATTGTACTGTTTCGTTTTCCTTGTAGTGAGGTCATTGTAGTTTGTGAATTGTTTTCGTTTTTAACCAAAATATATGCACAACATATTTTTTTGGTTTTTTGGAAAAATTGTCTGTTTTGCCCGGTTATGACACACGGCATGATACCTGTTGTAGATACCTGTTGGTTACGAAGCTGCATAATATTGTTGTTTAAGGTAATGTAGTAAAAATAAATAACATTT